GAGCCTGTGCTCTGCAGCGGGAGAGGCCACAACGGTGAGAGGCTCACGTACCGCAAAAAAAAAAAGAAAAAAGAAAAGAAAAAAGACACAAACAACTAAAATCAGAAATGAAAATAGACATCATTTAAAACCTTACAGAAATGGAAGGGATTATAAAAAATACTATGAACAACTGTCACCAACAAATTAGATAACCTAGATGAAATGGTCTTGTTCCTAGAAACACACAAATGATATAAACTGAGTCAGGAATATATAAAAAATATGAACAGACCTATAATAAGAAACTGAATCACTAATCAAAAACCTCCCAACAAAGAAAAGAGCAGAACCACTTGGCTCCACTGGTAAATTCTAACAAACATTTAAAAGAAGAATTAACAGCAATCCTCAAACTCTTCCAATAAAGTAGAAGAGAAGGGAACACTTACTTCATAATGCTTTCTATGAGGCCACTATTACCCTGACAGAAAAGCCATGCAAGAAGACTATAGTCTTCTATGTATTCCTTATATAGATGCAAAAATCCTCAATGAATTGCTAAGCAAACTGAAGCCAACAGCTTATTAAAAAACCCTCTTTGCAGAAATAGAAAAGATGATCTTCAAATTCATATGGAATTGCAAAGGGCTCTGAATAGCCAGAGAAATACTGAAAAAGAACAAAGTTGGAGGATTCACAATTTCAAAATTTATTGTGGAATTGATATAACAATAGACATATGAACCTGTGGACTAGAACTGAGAGTTCAAAAATAATCTACGGCTAATTAATTTTCAACAAGTGTGCCAAAGCCATTCAATGAGGAAAGAATAGTCTCTTTAACAAATGATGGAGATACAGCTGGATATCCTAATGTAAAAGAATGGAGTTGGACCCCTAAGCCATAACATATACAAAAATTAACCCAAAGTGGGTCAAAGACCTACATATGAGAGAAAAAATGATATGACTGTTTCAAGAAAACAAAGGGGTAAATCTTCATGAGCTTGGATTTAGCAATGGATTTTAGATATGAAACCAAAAGCTCTAGAAACAAACACACACAAAAAAGATAGATAAATTAGACCTAATCAAAATCCGAAACTTTTATGCATCAAAGTACACTATAAAGAAAGTAAAACAACTATTTTAATCTCCCCTTATTCGCCCCATTGATAAGAGACCCCTAGGGTCATGGGGATGGTTGAACACTCAACATCTGACACTGGACATATGAGATTAAAAGCAGATTACTGGTCACACATACTCAAATCCCAGGGGAGGAGGACACTGCATGCCACACAGACTCACATGGGGTTACACTTGAGAAGAGAGTGAACAACCAGGAGCTATGGGTGGCAACTCTGTAGTATGAAGAGGACAGAGTGATGATGATTGGTTCCCAGGGGAGGATGTGATTGGTTTGTTTCCATAATTACCCATCTGGCAAGGAACTGAAATTCCCTACTCAGGAATAAGCAGAGACTACCTAGATCCCTGAATAAAGAGGGTTGTTTGGATAGGGGGCCTGATCCACGGGAGCAGAGTTGGGAGGGACTATTCAAGGCCCTCCTGGTTTCACCAGATATCCAGGCAGCACATAATACTGACCTTAATTTTAGGCCTTAAACTGTAACAACAACCTAGAGAATGGGAGAAAATACTTGCAAATGATTTACCTGATAAGAGTCTAGTATGCAGAACATACAAAGAAGTCTTACAACTCAACGAAAACAGAAACAATCCAATTAAAAATATGGGCAAGAGGTGAGGAAGATTAAGAGGTACAGACTTCCAGTTACAAAATAAATGAGTCACGGGTTTGAATTGTACAGTGTGGGGAGTATAGTCTTAATTATGTAATATCTTCGTATGGTGACAATAATTAGACTTATTGTAGTGATCATTTTGAAATGCACAGAAAAATAAAATCACTATGTTGTTACCAGGACATAGTGTTTTAGGTCACTGTACTTCAAAAACAAACAAACTCATAGGAAAAGAGATCAGATTTATGGTCACCAGAGGCGGAGGGGTAAGGGGTGGGAGGAAATTGTATGAAGGCAGTCAAAAGGTACAAACTTCCAGTTATACGATAAACAAGTACTAGGGATGTAACATACAACATGATTGATATAATTAATACCGCTGAATGTTATAAATAAAAGTGGTTAAGAGAGTAAGTCCTAAGAGTTCTCATCACAAGAGAAAAATTTTTTTTCTGTTTCTTTAATTGTTTTCCCTATATGAGATGATGGGTGTTCACTAAACTTCCTGTGGTAAGCATTTCATGATGTATATAGGTCAGTCATTATGCTGTACACCTTGAACTTTTACGGTGCTGTATATAAATTATATTTCAATAAAACTGAAAGGAAAAATAACAGGCTGAAAATCTGAGTAGGTATTTCTCCAAACAAGATATGCAAATGGCCAGCAAGAACATGAAGAAATGCTCAACATCATTAGTCATTAATGAAATACAAATCAAAAGCACAATGATATGTATACCACTTTATGTAATGTAAGCTGGTGTAGCTGTTGTGGAAAACAGTTTGGTGGTGCCTCAAAAAGTTAAACATAGAATTACCATATGACCCAGAAATTCCACTTCAAGTTATATGCTCGAAAGAACTGAAAATGGATACTCAAGCAAATACTTGTACATGAATGATCACAGCCAAAAAGTGGAAATAACCCAAATGCCCATCAATAGATGAATGCATAAACAAAATGTGGTATATACGTTCAATGGAATATTATTCAGCCATAAAAGTACATGAAGCACTGATTGTGCTCAGTGTGGATACACTGAAAATATTAGGCTAAGTGAAAGAAACCCTAAACAAAAAGTTACATGTTGTAAATGATTCCAGTTATACGAAATATCCAGAAGAGGTATCCATAGAGACAGAAAGCAAATGGGTGGTTGCCAGGGACTGAAGAAAGGGGTTACTGGGTAGGAGAACAGGGAGTGACTACTTAATAGATACAGGGTTTTCTTTCAGGGTGCTGAAAATGTTTTGGAACTAGATAGAAGTGGTGATTACTTAATACCATGAAGATACTAAATGCCACTGAATTGTACACTTTAAAAAAGTTATCTTATGTGAATTTTACCTCAATTTTTTAAAAAGAGGAAAGAAACCATACTCATGTCCCCTTCTGTCAAACATATATATTTCAGGCTCTCTTTAAATAAAAGGTTTTGAAATTAAAAATAATACTTGGGCTATAAATTAATCAATGCCTTTGAAAAGGAACTGAATAAAACTATACATGCGCTCCCTGCCCTCCACTTACAAGCCCTACCAGATACAGTACTAAATTCTTCCACTGATGCCCACCCTTCCTGCCTTTCCTTTTACAGTTTCCTAAATAGAGTGGAGGATATTTCATTTCTTCACGCCCACAAACACAACATTCACAATCCATCAGTAGAACAGTGGTTCTCAAACCTGACTGCACATTACAGTCACTTCAGGGGCTTTAGAAAAATATATCTCATGTCTGGGCTTATCAACTGAATCAGAATTTCTGGAGGAGAGGCATTTCCATGTTTCTATGCTAGATTATTTCTATTCTGCCTTTAGTATTTCCCTTAGTATAGGTCTGCTCAGATGCGTTTTCTCAGTACTGATAGTCTGAAATGTCTTTATTTTGCCTTTACTTTTTTTTTTTAATTAATTTATTTTTGGCTGCATTGGGTCTTCATCGCTCTGCATGGGGTTTCTCTAGTTGCAGTGAGTAGGGGCTACTCTTCATTGTGGTGTGTGGGCTTCTCGTTGTGGTGGCTTCTCTTGTTGTGGAGCACGGGCCATAGGCACATGGGGTTCAGTAGTTGTGGTGAACGTACTTAGTTGCTCCATGGCATGTGGAATCTTCCCGGACCAGGGATCAAACCAATATCCCCTGCACTGGCAGCAGATTCTTAACCACTGTGCCACCGGGGAAGTCCCCTGCCTTTACTTTTGAAGGATAATTCACTGAATACAGAATTCTAAGTTGGCAGTATCGTTTTACATGCTTTAAAAATGTCACTGCAGGGCTTCCCTGGTGGTGCAGTGGTTGAGAGTCCGCCTGCCGATGCAGGGGACACGGGTTCATGCCCCTGTCTGGGAAGATCCCACATGCCGCGGAGCAGCTAGGCCCGTGAGCCATGGCTGCTGAGCCTGCGCGTACAGAGCCTGTGCTCCACAACGGAAGAGGCCACAACAGTGAGAAGCCCACGTACCGCAAAAAAAAAAAAAGTCACTGCATCACCTCTGGTTCCCAATGTTTCTCTTAAGAAATTAGCTTTCAGCCTTATTATTGCTCTTTTGAGGCAAATCTCTTTTCTCTCTAGGTACTTTTAATATTTTCACTTTATCTCTTTGGTTTTCAGCTGTTTTACTATAATTCCCCTAAGTATGTTTGCTTTGAACTTATTTTGTGTTGTATTTAATGCTTCTTGAACTTATAGCTTGATGTCTTTTGTCAAATTTGAACTCTGTCATTCTCTCTTAAAATGTTACAATTACCCTGTGTGCTCTCTTCTCCCCCTCTGTGACTCCAATTATATGTATATTAGACTTTTTATTGTGTCATACATATGTCTAGCACTTTTCGATAAATCCATCTCTTTTGTACTTGTGCCTGGTCAGGTATTTTCTCCTGGGCTATCTTCCAGTTCACAAACCCATTTTTTAGATATGTACAATCTGCTGTTAAGTCTTTTATCTTTTTCCTGGTTGTTTCTCTGACAAATCTTTAAGCATTTCATTTGGTGACTAGCGGCAACAGACATTACATGAATATTTGCGGAGTATATGATACTTACCTCACAAAAGCAAATTAAATTTGAATGGGTCAATTTTGCTATCAACAGCAATTTTGACTACACTCTATTTTAAAGAAATGGAGCACTTTACAAAGGATATACAAAAATCACCACAATCTAGGTCACATTTTATATTTTTAATACAGTTGATGCTTCATACTGCCCTAATGTTAAAAGAATATTTTAAAAGGATACTTACTCTCTCTCCTTTTCAGTCAGCTTGTCATTAATATTATCTTTGATTGTTGATCTAGATCCCTTATGAATTATAGGATATCTGAGGGGCACTTGTAGGAAAAAGGAAATCATTGATACCAAATGTGCAGTGTAACCAAGGGCAACAGCAATGCTTCCATCATCTTTTGCTATAAATTCAAAAACAGAGAAATAGAAAATAACTATTTACCTTATAAATGTAGCTATGAGATCATAATAAATCAATTTCAAGAGAGATTTTATAAGAAATAATTGATAAAATATTATTCACCTATCTAAATTATATGAATGTTATAGAAATTTAAACACATTAATAAGATTTGAAATTTCATCTACTACATTTAAAACTATTTCCCAATAATTAATGTGATGAGATTAAAATTTGATATATAATCTTAAGAGTTCTTACTGCATTCAAATCTCTATTACTCTCTTTCCCAGCATTTTTAAGGGCAAAAATAATACCTGCGTCTATTATACAATGCAAAAATTAGTTTCAGAGGTTTAAACATTACATCTATATTAACATTATACACTTTACTCGTTAACAACTTTATAAGCAAAACCGTTGTACTGTTGTACTATTGTACAACGTTATTAATTCCAAGGTGAAGTGAAACAGCACAGTGCATCCTTATGGGGTATGTTCTCAATATTCATAAAGAGAGCATTGTTTAAGTCTGTGAAGTTTGAGACAGGATAAGGAGAAAATATGTTTTAAATAGTAAAAGGTCAAAAACCACATTGTTCATATATATTCTATTTATGCAATTTTTGTGTGGAAGCAACTGTTGGAAAAAATACATGTCTCCTACAGTCAAACATAAGTATGTATCTTTCAAGAAGTCACAGATTTTAAGAAGTCACAGATTTTTAACTCAACATCTAGATTTCTGCTACTCTGCCTACCAAGTGACAAATAATCATTCAGGTACCCAGAACTGAGGGTAATACAATAAAAAGTTTTAAGCTTTCCCCAGGGGTAAGGAAAAAGTAACTGCTTGGTATACAATATTCTTAAAATACTTTAAAAAGTTCTCTCTCTCTCTCTCTCTCTCTCTCTCTCTCTCTCTCTCTCTCACACACACACACACACATTTAACACATATCTGGAATACATCTGGCTAGAGAAAGGCTGAAATGATTGAGATGACCTTGGCTTGAGTATTTCCTGATTTTTAAGAGTACCTTTAACTTTAATTATTAGTAATACTTTCCACATTCTTCTTCTTTATATTTAAACTTGGTTATCTAAGCACTACCTTCTTACTGTAGGACCCCTACTATAGCCGTATACTACTCAGTGCATTCTCCACCCTTGACTACCAAAGCAGATTCCTTGATCATACTGTAAAAATAGGTAACTTTTATTGTACACTTTTTTTTTTCTGCCAGGAATTGACCATGATGCTTTATTTCTGATAGTCATTCATTCATCAACAATTAATAAACCGGGTACGTTTTATATGCTATTTCATTCAATTTATAGACAAAGAAATAAGGTTCAAAGAAGTTAAGGAACCTGTCCAAACTAAGACAGCTAGTATATGGGTTGACCTGACACGGATGCCTCTGTCTTTAAGCACTCTACCATACTGTCACAGAACTTTACTGTGGAATGTAACAATTTTTAACTTTGGAGCCTAGAACACACCAAGCATATAACACACGTGTATTATCTTAGTTTCTTCACACTTTTCTAGTAAGGGCAAAGAACACATAAAAACTCCTTGGTAACATGTTCTCTCAAATCAAACTGATGAAAAAAAAATCAAACAGCATTCCTTTCAACTGACTACTGGGCATGCCCTAACTGATGAGAATCCTATTTTTAGAGACCATGTGCTCTTGGCCCAGACTCACAGTACTACAATACTTTCCTACTGTTGAAATATGTATATCACACTACCTTAGAGACTGAAATTACATTACATTGTAAATGCATTACATTATAATTTAATCATCATATATAATATTAGAGTCAGGAGAAACCTTAGAAATCACTGCATCTGATGCTATCAACTTAGAAATGAGAAAAATAAGATTCACGTGGCATAAGTGACTTGGTCAAAGCCATATAAGTAAAAACTATGAGTGATGGAGTGGGAGAGAGAATTCTATCTACACCCCAGCCCCCCAAATATTTATCCCTGGAAGCACAGCTGGGATGGTGAGTTCCATCAGATGTTGCTGAATCCTGCCTCCTGCTTTCTCTAAAGAATAAGGCTTATCAAATTTAAAATATCTCTATCAGTAAAAGGACTTGGTCTTTCAGAAACTTCTTTTGAAGGGAGAGGAAGAAAAAGAGAACTTACAGTAAGTAAGCTCTTACAGTAAGAACTTTAAGAACTTACAGTAAGTAAGGTTTTCCTTTCGTATGTGACCTGACAGAAAAGGATTTGAAAACTTTCAAAAATCAGAAGGCCTCTTAGTTAGCCTGCCCAAAATAGGTCAAGTGCAAACTATAGTTTAAAAAAACCTATCCAATGCTAAACACTCAAGCATCTCCAGTTTTCCGTATTACTAAAAGGGTAATACTAAAGAATTAAGTTTGCCTATTTCGAGGACTACACCCACATATATATTAAAAGAACGGAAACTGGTCTTCTAACACCACCTCCTTTCAATAATCAAAACAATTTTGTGGGTTTCCCTGGTGGCGCAGTGGTTAAGAATCTGCCTGCCAATGCAGGGGACACGGGTTTGAGCCCTGATCCGGGAAGATCTCACATGCTGTGGAACAACTAAGCCCGTGCACCACAACTACTGACGCCTGTGCACCTAGAGCCCGTGCAGGTTAAAGAAGAGAAGTTACTGCAATGAGAAGCCTGCGCACTGCAACGAAGAGGAGCCCCCACTCACCGCCACTAGAGAAAGCCTGTGTGCAGCAACGAAGACCCAAAGCAGCCAAAAATAAATAAATAAAATTAATTAACTAAAAACAAAACAGGGCTTCCCTGGTGGCACAGTGGTTGAGAGTCCGCCTGCCAATGCAGGGGACACGGGTTCGTGCCCTGGTTCGGGAAGATCCCCCATGCCGCAGAGCGGCTGGGCCCGTGAGCCATGGCCGTTGAGCCTGCGCGTCCAGAGCCTGTGCTCTGCAATGGGAGAGGCCCCAACAGTGAGAGGCCTGCGTACCGCAAAACAAAAACAAAACAATTTTGATTAAATTTAAACATAAGGGCTTCCCTGGTGGCGCAGTGGTTGAGAGTCCGCCTGCCGATGCAGGGGACACGGGTTCGTGCCCCGGTCCGGGAAGATCCCACGTGCCGCGGAGCGGCTGGGCCCGTGAGCCATGGCCGCTGAGCCTGCGCGTCCGGAGCCTGTGCTCCGCAACGGGAGAGGCCACAACAGTGAGAGGCCTGCATACAGCAAAAAAAAAAAAAAAAAAAAAACCAAAAAGAAATAGCAAAAACGGAAAACTGGGTAATACTGGAAATCAGTTTTGATTCTAGTTATTCACACTCACCATTGTTTCCACCACAAGACTCCCCCACTCCACCCATTAAAAACCCTAGGTTGTTTCCCATTCCAGGCCATAGTGCTCCGTCACAGCCTCGCAGTTAAACACTGTGGTGTTGGATTTCCAATATTGAAGCTTTATATTAAAAAGCATTTTAAAAGGACCACGGGTAAGGCATTACAGGGCCCAAGGGTATTCCAATACCCTCAAAAGGAAAACCACCTCCTGGTAGGGAAGTCACTTTCATCACCCCAAGACCACTGTACCTCCAGTGGGAAAATGTGAGCTCATGTGGTTAATTATGGCTATTGCTGGCCACGAAACCTCAGATGTCACATTCTGTTGCCAATCACTTTAGCTAAAAAAACCAAAAGGTTTAAGGTTTCCAGCATTCCAAGATCTAAAAGACTTTTTACCTGCCAAAGCCAAAACCTGGCTCTCTGGGGTGTGCTTTTCCAGTAAGCATTAATGACGCCCCTAATACCTAATGCAGAGCAGAGGCTTGTATTCCTTATGCTGCTCTGGGGGTTAGAAAGGTCACAGATGATAGGTTTGTTGGTGAAAAGAAGTTAGAGGGGGAGTGGGAGGGTTCAGAGAGGAACAGGAATAAACTGTAGACTCAGGTAAGTAAAAAAGCCCTTATTAAAACAATGTTTTAAGGGGCTTACAAACAAAACAAAATTCTGCAGTTTCCTCATAATAAATATTTCTGGTTTTTCGGGCCTCTCACTGTTGTGGCCTCTCCCACTGTGGAGCACAGGCTTTGGACGCGCAGGCTCACTGGCCATGGCTCACGGGCCCAGCCGCTCCGCGGCATGTGGGATCTTCCCGGACCGGGGCACGAACCCGTGTCCCCTGCATCAGCAGGCAGACTCTCAACCACTGCGCCACCAGGGAAGCCCTGGTTTGTTTTTTAAATGTAGGTATCTACTCGGGGCTGCAGTAATTTTTATAATAATTAAATCTTTTATGTAATTGTTATGATAATAGATTCCACAAACCCACAATGGCCATGACAACATTACAAATTCATTCAAATGTCCCTTTGACTTATATGTTGGACAAACTATTAATATTCAAATGCATCCAAGTACAATAAGTGATCTAAAAGCTCTTACCATCCTGCCTTCCCAATCACTGAGGCAGCTGATTTGGTAAGGAACCATGCACCCACTGATCCAGACAGGACAAAATATTTAAGACTCTAATCATTGCCACAGCATCTATGGAATCATTCCATGTTCTCAATGAGACACTGTTTGACATATGGACTCTCCTTTCCAAGAAATTATGCCTGTATGAAGGGATACAGACACAGAAGGAAATCTGGGTCTCATTACCACGAAAGGCTCTCATGTTATGGATTACTTAAAATCACACACAAACAGTTTTCTTTTTTTTTTTAATTTTTGGATGAGAAATGTCTCAGTCAATGGAACTCAAATGAGTACCCTTCACTGGACAACTCTCTCCCGTTGTGTCCCAGTCTCTCTGGAATACTCTAACTGAAACTTACCCAGTTAGAAGAGGAGAAGAGCACAATAAGTGTTGAGTCACTATGGAGGAGTTTCCCAAACAGTATCAAGCCATACGATGTAAAGTCTGTCCCAGCAAAGTCTCATGAATATAACAGAATAACCGGTTTAGAGTTCTGTCACTAGAGTCTAAGAATGCAGCTGCTACAGAACACTAAAAGTTGTCAGAAGTCTGGAAGAGGTTATTATTCAAAACAAGGAAGAAAACTGCATCATGACAGGAATAATATGGACCTTAAAATCAGGCCGACCAGGGATGATTTTAGCTCTGCCACTGGCTAGTATGAGTCTTTGGAAAAATTAACTAATCTGAGCTGCAATTTTCTTGTCTTTAAAAGAAAAAGTTGAGTATAACT